TAGAGCGGTGGGGGTCGGTCTCTTCTCCCAAGTCACAGGCGACAGGATGAGAGGAAATGGCCTCAAGTTGGCCCAGGGAAGGTTCAGGCTGGATATTAGGAAAAATTTTTTCACTGAAAGGGTTCTCAGGCATTGGAATGGGCTGCCCAGGGAGGTGGTTGAGGCCCCATCCCTGGAGGTGTTCAAAAGACAGGTTGATGTAGTGCTGGGAGATATGGTTTAGTGATGGTGATGCTTCTTGTTTGTTGTGTGGGTGTCTATTTTTGTCAAAGTTAGGTTGACAGTTGGACAAGATGATCTTTAAGGTCCCTTCCAACCTAGAAGATTCTGTGTTAAAGAAATCGTGGTGGACTTTGTTCTTGTTGTACTTCTGCGCCTTGATGGTTTTGTAAATGTCTCGGATGGGTGGAGGCTGTAGCTTAGATCATGGTTTTAGTAGAAATCATGGTGGACTTACTTTGTTCTGGTTGGACTTCTGCGCCTTGATGGCTTTGTAAATGTCTTGGATGGATGGAGGCTGTAGCTTAGATCATGGTTTTAGTTTCCCAGGCTGTAGCATCATAAAATGCTTTGGGTTGAAAGGGACTTTAAGGACCATCTAGTTCCAACCCCCCTGCCCCGGGTAGGGACACCTCCCACCACACCAGGTGGCTCTGAGCCCCCTCCAACCTGGCCTTGAACCCCTCCAGTTCCAGGCTGTAGAATCATAAAATGCCTTGGGTTGAAAGGGACTTTAAGAACCATCTAGTTCCAACCCCCCTGCCCTGGGCAGGGACACCTCCCACCACACCAGGTTGCTCCAAGCCCCCTCCAACCTGGCCTTGAACACCTCCAGGGATGGGGTTCTCTCTGGGCAACCTGGGCCAGGCTCTCACCACCTTCACAGCCAAGAAGTTCTTCCCCACATCTTATCTCAGTCTCCCCTCTTTCAATTTAAAACCCTTCCATCTCGTCCTGTACTTCCCCTCCCTGATCAAGAGTCCCTCCCCAGCTTTCCTGGAGCCCCTTGAGGGACTGGAATGGGCTCTGAGGTCCCCCTGGAGCCTTCTGCTTCCCCTCCATGATCAAGGGTCCTTCCCCAGCTTTCCTGGAGCCCCTTTAGGGACTGGAAGGGGCTCTTAGGTCTTCCTGGAGCCTTCTCTTCTCCAGACTGGGTCATCTTAGAAAGCTGTTCTAAGTAGAGAAACAAAAGTCCTGCAGACCCATAGGGCTGAGAGTGGGAGAGTTGTATCTTTAAGTGCCTCCTACATGGTTTAGAGCTGTAGGTACGTGGTGGGAACAGCATCTTTGGCCATCGTTGAAGCCTGATTCCTGTTGCATGCCCTGTGTTGCTGGACAAATGTGAGCATGTTGTGTGCCACCACGTGTGCATAAATTGAGCTGTTTACCACGGGGAGAAGAGCACTGGTGCACATCATAGCACCACAACAAGCCACAGAGGCAGCCCTGAGGCGCACAGGAGCCACGCAAGTCCCAGGAGGAGATGTGACAGCATTGCCAAGCTCCAGCAGAGCTGGTGTTCACCCATAACACTTCCATTTTAGCCAGGCTTTATTTCCATAATAATTTTCTTCTGTGCTGATGCTGCCAAAACTGACTGTATTTCAAGCAGTTGTGTTGCGTGCGGCACCTGCACAGTGGCTAAACAATTCAGGATTTTTTTTATTTCATGATGAATACAAACAAATCCTGCCCAATTTTAACTGTTTCTGCTCCCTCAGCAGCCTGTTTGCTCCCAGCCTCTCCTTGGGATTCATCCATCTTTCCCTGCTGGCACCAGGAGCTGGGATAGAGAAGAAGGGAAAGTCTCTGTAGCCTTTATTTCTGAAGGCTTTTATTCTTGAAATGGGAAAAGAATCAGAGAAGCACAGAATGATACGGGGTTGGAAGGGACCTCTGGAGATCATCTCCTCCACCCCCCTGCCAGAGCACAGCCACCCAGAGCAGGTCCCACAGGAACATGTCCAGGTGGGGTTGGAATGTCTCCAGAGAAGGAGACTCCACCACCTCTCTGGGCAGCCTCTGCCAGGGCTCTGCCACCCTCACAGGAAAGAAGTTCCTCCTCATGTTGAGGTGAAACAACTTCTGGTCAAGTTTGTGCCCATTCCCTCTTGTCCTGTCCCTGGGCACCACTGAAAAAAGCCTGGCCTCATCCTCCTGACACCCACCCTTCAAGTATTTCTAGGCCTTGATCCGATCCCCCCTCAATCTTCTCTTCTCCAGACTCAAAAGCCCCAAGTCCCTCAGCCTCTCCTCATAAGGGAGATGCTCCAGGCCCCTCATCATCTTTGTAGCCCTCTGCTGTCCCCTCTCCAGCAGTTCCCTGTCCTTCTGGAACTGGGGAGCCCAGAACTGGTCCCAGTGCTCCAGCTGGGGCCTCCCCAGGGCAGAGCAGAGGGGCAGGATGACCTCCCTCCACCTGCTGGTCCCACTCTTCCTGATGCCCCCCAGGATGCCATTGGCCTTCTTGGCCACAAGGGCCCATTGCTGGCTCATGGGCACCCTGTTGTCCACCAGGACTCCCAGGTCTTTCTCCTCAGAGCTGCTCTCCAGCAGGTCAGCCCCACCCTGTCCTGGTGCAGGGGGTTATTCCTCCCCAGGTGCAGCACCCTGCACTTGCCCTTGTTGAGTTGTACCAGGTTCCTTGAGCCTAGAAGAAATTGAGATGTTGAAGCCTCACAGTGGAGGAAAGTAGTGATGTGGGGTTGAGTACATTTGTTTTTCTTTAGAGTGTTGGAGTCATTTACTCAAATCATTCAACCTCAGTTCTCATCTCTCCCTGGTATAAACCTAAATGGAGTCTCTTAAATTGAAAAGCATTTTTATGGTGTTTCCTGATGTCAAGAGAACTGCGAGGCGTAAATTTACTCTTTCACTCGTATATAGGATTTTGGGTGGCTGCATTCGGCTGGGATTCGTGAAATCCGAGCAGAATTTGGCAGGTTTAACTTGATCTTCTTTAAAAAACGCACTCAATTACATACTTCCAGCTTACCCCAATGGCTCTGATATTTTTTGGGGAGCTTATATGAAGCCCTGCAGTGAAAAATTTCTCTTCCCCAGAGTCCCAAAAGCCAAATTGCTTTTGGGTGGGTTTGCTGTGTGATGGTGATGCCCTGGGGAGGGGATCCCAGTGCAGATCTTTGCCTGGAGGGATGTAGTTCTCCTGAAAAAAAAGTCTTTTTATTACTTTAGCTCTCCTCTGCCCCAGCTCAAGCACATTAAACTGATTATTTATTGGGATGTATCTAGTGGTGGGATCATCCGTGGTGGGAAGGACTGGGTATTTCAATACAGCCACGATCACCGGTGTGAGTTTTTTGCGTGAATAATTAAAAAAAAAAAGGCATTTAGATGAGTCTTGTTCTCTGTGCAAGGCTCAAAAGCTCCATAAGGTGACAAACCCTCAACTTTTCCATGCAAAGTCCCATGGTCTCTGCTAGTTCTGGTGGCATCTGGTGGCTGAAACAACTGTATCCTTTCAAAAGCAAATTTCATAGTGCTTGGAGAGGGTAAGGTTGCCTGAACCTTCTGTTATTGCACGAATCCTTCTTGAAAACTACTTTGTTTTGCAAAGCTTCAGGAGCTGAGCAGATTTTACTTGGTGATGTCTACCAGGTGTTGTGTTTAAACTCTTTATCCTCTTTTTTCTTACCCCTTGGTCCCAGAAATCCCCCAGGATTTGGGGGTGATGAGACGGTGCTGACCGGTGCGAGTTTTTTGCATGAATAATTAAAAAAAAAAGGCATTTAGATGAGTCTTGTTCTCTGTGCAAGGCTCAAAAGCTCCATAAGGTGACAAACCCTCAACTTTTCCATGCAAAGTCCCATGGTCTCTGCTAGTTCTGGTGGCATCTGGTGGCTGAAACAACTGTATCCTTTCAAAAGCAAATTTCATAGTGCTTGGAGAGGGTAAGGTTGCCTGAACCTTCTGTTATTGCACGAATCCTTCTTGAAAACTACTTTGTTTTGCAAAGCTTCAGGAGCTGAGCAGATTTTACTTGGTGATGTCTACCAGGTGTTGTGTTTAAACTCTTTATCCTCTTTTTTCTTACCCCTTGGTCCCAGAAATCCCCCAGGATTTGGGGGTGATGAGACGGTGTGAGTCTGATGTCAGAGACTTGCCTTGTGGTATTGTTGTCAAAGAATTAGCCAGATGTTGGGGAGTGCTGATGTTCATATCATTGCACAGGACAAGAGGAAATGGCCTCAAGTTGCTCCAGGGGAGGTTCAGGCTGGATATTAGGAAAAATTTTTTCACTGAAAGGGTTCTCAGCCATTGGAATGGGCTGCCCAGGGGGGTGGTTGAGGGACCATCCCTGGAGGTGTTCAAAAAACGGGTTGATGAAGTGCTGGGAGGTATGGTTTAGTGATGATGATGAGTCTGATGTCAGAGACTTGCCTTGTGGTATTGTTGTCAAAGAATTAGCCAGATGTTGGGGAATGCTGATGTTCATATCATTGCATGGGGAACCAAGTCCCAGAATTGTAGGGGTTGGAAGGGACCTCTGGAGACCATCTACTCCTTCCCAACGCTCGGCTACGTGCTCCAGGGGTGAAGAAAACAGCAGGGTTCACGCGGGGGTTCGTTTCCCTCTGTCTCTTCAAGCCCTTGGAGATGTTCTGGAGATGTTCAGAGTGTCCTTCACGTTTTAGAGTCCCACAATTGTAGGGGTTGGAAGGGACTTCTGGAGACCATCTACTCCTTCCCAACGCTCGGCTACGTGCTCCAGGGGTGAAGAAAACAGCAGGGTTCACGCGGGGGTTCGTTTCCCTCTGTCTCTTCAAGCCCTTGGAGATGTTCTGGAGATGTTCAGAGTGTCCTTCACGTTTTAGCTGAGATGTATCACAGTTGTGTATTATTTACCATACATAATGTAGGTGGTAACAAGGTGAGGAAGATGGAGACATGTGAAGATGGAGGATCGTTGTGCGATGAGAACAAACTATTAACAATAAAATGGATCAACTTACAAAAGCTTTTCTTCTGTTCCGTAACAGGGATGAGAAGAACCAATCCATCATCGTGAGTGGGGAGTCTGGTGCTGGAAAGACGGTCTCTGCCAAATACGCCATGCGCTTCTTCGCAACCGTGGGTGGTTCCGCCAGCGAGACCAACATCGAAGCCAAAGTCCTCGCCTCGAGCCCAATCATGGAGGTAAAAGCTACATAATTTCCTTCATCCTGCTTGAAGGCATCACTGTGTCTCTCCAGAAGCCACAAAAATGAGACATGTGAAGATGGAGGATCGTTGTGCGATGAGAACAAACTATTAACAATAAAATGGATCAACTTACAAAAGCTTTTCTTCTGTTCCGTAACAGGGATGAGAAGAACCAATCCATCATCGTGAGTGGGGAGTCTGGTGCTGGAAAGACGGTCTCTGCCAAATACGCCATGCGCTTCTTCGCAACCGTGGGTGGTTCCGCCAGCGAGACCAACATCGAAGCCAAAGTCCTCGCCTCGAGCCCAATCATGGAGGTAAAAGCTACATAATTTCCTTCATCCTGCTTGAAGGCATCACTGTGTCTCTCCAGAAGCCACAAAATCAGTGGGAGCCGTAGGGACTTGTGAGCCAGACTTGGTTTGAAACCTCACAACAACCCCGAGATGGTCTGAAAATACAGAAATATGGTGATAACCTCCATTTACCCACCCCAGTTGCTCCTCTCTTTGATGGTCTTGAAGCTGAGCCCGTGCATCCCCACCAGGGCTCCAAGAACTTGGCTTTGATGGGGCTCCAGAGTGGAGACCCTGAGCGGTGCTCTGAAGGAAAAGAATTCCTTTTATAAGTAATTAAATTAATTTTCACCAGGTGGTGAAGATAAAGGTCTGAGTGCCTAAATCCCATTTTTTAAACAGATTTTGGAGTCGGTGTGCCTTTATTTGCAAACAGAAGAACAGGATTTAGGCTTTTCCAAAGTCAGTTAAGAACTTCAGGCTTGGAGGACTTTTCTTTTAAAGGCAGGAGCTCCTGGTGGTCTGTGACACTCGATGATCTGTCACAGTGTGGTCTTCAGGGTTTTTTTTTCCTCCTTCTCCTGTGCCTCTGTGATATGTAGCTGCAATACCTGGCAACACTTAAAAGCATCCAGGGAAAAATCATGGCCCGTGTTATTCTTTTTATATGACCCCATAATTTTATTGCTCTAATTTTATTGCCCGTGGTTCGGTTCTGGATATAATTTCTCAGTGCTGGGGCTGGGGAACCTGTCATATTGGAAATAGAGGAGGATGTTGGCCACGTGAAAAACCATGAAAGAGAACTGCCTGGTTTGCAAAAATCCCAAAGTTTAAATGTGAAGATGGAGCAGAGGGATGTGAGTGTCACGAAATAGCCCTTAGCAATGAGATGCGCCGTGTTTGATGGATGGGTTGTACATCCCTAGGGCAGGTATCTCTACGTTATAGACAAGGAATTGAAGAGAAGGTGATGATGGTAATTCTGGATTGTAAAATATCTGGTTGTGATGTTGGCTGTAGCAGTTTGTGAACCTCTTATTTCCCTGGAGAATGGGTGTCTCTAGTCTGGAGAAGAGAAGGCTGAGGGGGGATCTGATCAACACCTATAAACACTTCAAGGATGAGTGTCTGGAGGATGGGGCCAGGCTTTTTTCAGTGGTACCCAAGGACAGGACAAGAAGAAATGGGCACAAACTTGACCATAAGAAATTCCACCTCAACACGAGGAGGAACTTCCTTCCTGTGAGGGAGGCAGAGCCCTGGCAGAGGCTGCCCAGAGAGGTGGTGGAGTCTCCTTCTCTGGAGACGTTCAAAATGCACCCGGACACGTTCCTGTGGGACCTGCTCTGGGTGGCCCTGCTTTGGCAGGGGGTTGGACTAGATGATCTCCAGAAGTCCCTTCCAACTCCATATCATTCTGTGATTCTGTGATGGGCTCTGGGCAGAAATTGAGTGTGTGCTCTGCCTCTGGGATGCGGGTTGGAGGTGAGAAGTGGGGGCTGTGGGTCTGTGAGCACTTTCAGTGATGGGGAACAGTGAACTACAGGAGTTGAGGGGTCTAGAGCACAAGTCTTGTGAGGAGCGGCTGAGGGAGCTGGAGGTGTTCAGCCTGGAGAAAAGGAGGCTGAGGGGAGACCTTCTCACCCTCTTCTCCCAAGGAACAGGCAATGGGACAAGAGGAAACGGCCTCAGGTTGCACCAGGGGAGATTTAGGATGGATATTAATAAAAATTTCTTCATGGAAAGGGTTGTCAAGCCTTGAAAGAGGCTGCCCAGGGCGGTGGTGGAGTCACCATCCCTGGAGGGATTTAAAAGCCAAGCAGACATGATGCTGAGGGACATGGGTTAGTGGTGGTTTTGTCAGTGTTGGGTTGATGGTTGGACTCGATGATCTGAAAGGTCCCTTCCAACCTGGATGACTCTATGATTCTAAATAAATGGGCTTTGGGGGAAGGAGGAGCATTTGTTAGCAGAGGGGTTGGGTTGGTGGTGGATGGATGGAGCAAGGAGCAGGCAGGACTTGCTTAGGTTGCCTGCACCCTTCGAGAGGTTCACAAGGGCTCATTCCCTTCCATCGTTTCTCTTGTGCTTGCTGGAGGCTCTTCAGGGCAGGAGAATGGTGGTCGAAAATAAGGCTGGTGTAGCCATGAATAAGAATATTGACTTTCTCCAGCCTTCTTCCATCACCACCAGTTCTTCTTTGGTTGCTTGATGGATTGCCATGTTTGCACCCTTGATGTTTGTACATGGGCTGGATTTTCTCCTCACCAAGGAGGTGACAGGCAGACACTGGAGAGGCACAGAGGGGCTCTGCCCAAGTCACCAAATCCATGGACCGAAGCCCAACAATCTGGAGATGGATTGCAGCTGGATCTCTCCTTCTCCCAGGGCTTCTTCACCCATGTCTCCTCCAGGAAAGCTGCCACTATTGACTGTTTGTGAACAAAGATGGGGACATCCTGGAAGACAAAGCAGGAGTGCTGTGTCTGTTGGGATGTAGGTCATCTAATTACCGTAGAAATACTAATTTCTGTTTATATGCATTTTTTTTTCCTATAAAAATTCCGGAGATGACACATTTTTAGCGAAGAGTCCTTCCCAAAGTCACGGCGTTGCTCTGCCTTCTGCATCTGGGAAGGGGTTTTCCTCAACTCCTCCCACGACTGTTTATCTGATTACAAATTTGAACGTTGAAAAAATTGTAAAAATTAAGACAAAAATGAATGTTGATCTATTTTTTTTTTGTATACAGGCAATTGGAAACGCTAAAACAACAAGGAATGACAACAGCAGTCGCTTCGGGAAGTACATCCAGATCGGCTTTGATAAAAGATACCACATCATTGGTGCCAACATGAGGACGTATCTCTTGGAAAAATCACGAGTCGTGTTCCAGGTGAGGGGCTGTGCTTTTTTTTTTCCCTTCTTTTCTTTCTTTTGAGTGCTGAATTGGGAATTTAATAATCTGGATCTTTGGAATAAAAAAAATGGCTTCGAAAGTAGCTTTCCTGGTGGACACGGCTTCCAGATGTGTCTTTCAGCTCAATCTTTTGCAGTTCTTCTTGATAATCCCCACCTGATCACCTCATTCTGGAGGAATATGTACCTGGGAGAGTCATTAATTGGGCTTTGATTGTCCCCTCCATGCCTGAAGTGGGAGCCCCGAGGAGAAAGCGCTGCTCGTGGCCTGGTTGCTGTGCAGGGATGGAAAGCCCTTCTCTGAGCAGATGCTGAGATTTTTACTAGATCTCATAAAAAGCCAGGAAGAATAAATTACAGGCTACAGTCTTTCTTTTTTGAAGATCATAGAATCATAGGATTTTCCAGGTTGGAAGGGACCCTTCAGGTCATTGAGTCCAACCATCAACCTGACACTGACAAAAATCACCACTAACCCTCAGCACCACATCTGCCTGGCTTTTAAATACCTCAAGGGATGGGGACTCCACCACTTCCATGGTGACTCAACTACTTATCCAATGCTTCATCACAGAATGGTTTGAGTTGGAAGGGACCTTAGAGATCATTCCTGTCCCTGGGCAGGGACACCTCCCACCAGACCAGGTTGCTCCAAGCCCCCTCCAACTTGGCTTTGAACCCCTCCAGGGATGGGGCAGCCACAGCTTCTCTGGGCAACCTGGGCCAGGCTCTCACCACCCTCCCAGCAAAGAAGTTCTTCCCCAGATTTTATCTCAATCTCCCCTCTTTCAGTTTAAATCCTTCCCCATCGTCCTATGGCTCCCCTCCCTGACCAAGAGTCCCCTCTCGTCTCTTCTGGAGCCTCTTGAAGGACTGGAAGGGGCTCTAAGGTCTCCCTGGAGCCTTCTCTTCTCCAGGTTGAACAACCCCAACTCTCTTGGCCTGTCCTCCCAGCAGAGGGGCTCCAGCCTTCTTGGTGGCATGGAGAAGATCTTGATGGTGGGAAACTGGGAAGGAGTTCAAGGGTGGCTCCAGGCTGACGGTGAGAGCACTGGTGTAACCTCTTCCTGCCTCTGTTAACATGGCATTTTCCCTTGTAGGCGGAGGACGAACGCAACTACCACATCTTCTATCAGCTTTGTGCCTCGGCAAGTCTTCCTGAATTCAAAGAACTTGGACTAAGTAAGTGCTTCCACCTCCTCGCCTCCTGGTGTTGACTGCCTGGGTGTGATGGCAGCAGGGAAATGTGGTGGGATTAGAAATGCAGGTCATGTTTAGGTGGAACTTCTTATGGTCAACTTTGTGCCCGTCCCTCTTGTCCTATCCCTGGGCAGCACTGAAAAAGCCTGGCCCCATCCTCCTGACACCCACCCTTCAAGTATTTATAGGTGTTGATCAGATCCCCCCTCAGTCTTCTCTTTTCCAGACTCAAAAGACCCAAGTCCCTCAGTCTTTCCTCATCAGAGAGATGTTCCAGGCCCCTCATCGTCTTTGTAGCCCTCTGCTGTCCCCTCTCCAGCAGTTCCCTATCCTCCTTGAACTGGGGAGCCCAGAACTGGTCCCAGTGCTCCAGATGGGGCTTCTCCAGGGAAAAGTAGAGGGGCAGGATGACCTCCCTCCACCTGCTGGTCATGGTCTTCCTGATGCCCCCCAGGATGCCATTCTTGGCCAGAAGGGCCCATTGCTGGCTCATGGGCATCCTGTTGTCCACCAGGACTCCCAGGAGAAGCTGCGGCTGCCCCATCCCTGGAGGGGTTCAAGGGCAGGTTGGAGGGGGCTTGGAGCAACCTGGTCTGGTGGGAGGTGTCCCTGCCCAGGGCAGGGGAGTGGAACTTGCTGGTCTTTAAGGTCCCTTCCAACTCTAACCTTTCTATGTTTCTATGCACCTGTGCGATGGAGCAATTATTTGAAGCCCAAATATTCCACAACTCTGCCCTTTTTTGAACTTGCTTTGCACAAGGAAGGGGTTTCATCACTGCAAGAACTAATTACAGTGATTTGTCAAGGTTATACTTCATCCGTTTCCAAGCAAACCGTAGTTAGAAGGAAGGAGGTGCACCTCAGGGTGGGACAGGATGGGGGACAGGGAGCAACCCAGTACACGACCTGGAAAACTACTTCTTGCTGATGTGTTTCTTCTGTATCTTCTCTCCTAGCATGTGCCGAAGACTTTTTCTACACTTCTCAGGGAGGTGACACGTCTATTGACGGCGTGGACGATGCTGATGACTTTGAGAAAACCAGGCACGCCTTCACCCTGCTTGGTAAGGGATTGCTCTGCTCAGAGGCTTCGTGGCAGAAGTCTCTTGCAAATGTTTTTATTTTGGTACTTTGCCTGAATTACATGACTCTCCTTTAACTCTAAGAGGTGTAAATCCATCTTCCTATGACCTAGTTGGCTTTGCCTTCTTCTTTAGTATGAGCTGCAGAAGGGGTTCCTTACAGCTCCCTGCGAAGCGGCGGTGAAATGGAAGAGGACATTTCCTCAGCAGCCCTGAGGAAAGGGACTTGGGGGTGCTGGTGGAGGAGAAGCTGGACATGAGCAGGCAGTGGGCAGCTGCAGCCCAGAAGGCCAATCCCATCCTGGGCTGCATCAAAAGATGCGTTGCCAGCAGGTCCAGAGAGGTGATTCTGCCACTTTACTCTGCTCTGGTGAGACCTCACTTGGAGTATTGTGTGCAGGTCTGGAGCCCTCAATAGAAGAAGGACATGGACCTGATGGAGAGGGTCTAGAGGAGGGCCACAAGGATGATCAGGGGGATGGAGCACCTCTGCTACGAGGACATGCTGAGGGAGCTGGGGTTGTTCAGCCTGGAGAAGAGGAGGCTCCGGGGAGACCTAATAGCAGCCTTCCAGTACCTGAGGGAGCCTACAGGAAGGCTGGGGAGAACCTGTTTAGAAAGGCCTGCAGTGACAGGACGAGGGGCAATGGCTTCAAACTGGAGGGGAACAGATTTAGACTGGAGATGAGGAGAGGGTTCTTCACTGTGAGGGTGGTGGTTCAAGGAGAGGCTCGAGGAGGCCCTGGGCAACCTGGTCTAGTTGGGGGTGTCCCTGCTGACTGCGGGGAGGTCGGACTAGATGACCTTTGGAGGTCCCTTCCGGCCTGGGCAATTCTATGATTCTATGATTGAATTTAAGAGAAGAGGACACTGAATTGAAGAGAAATGAAAATAAACCCTTCGGGAGTCAAAGCTCTGCTGCCGCTTCCACTTGCTCTTTTCTTATCCTATTTCCAAGCAGGAAAAGAGCTATTACTCTGCAGTTCAAACTCGATTTGGGTTGGGGTTGATGTCATTTCTCGGACCGTCACGGTGTTGTACCGAGTAGCTAATTACTGGTGATAATTAGCTGAGTACCTCCCTGCAGCGCAGAGCCAGCTGCGAAAACCTACCGCTGCCGCAACCACGCTCTGGTTTTGCAGTGCCCTATCCTGCCCGCCACTATTTCATGGGAAAACCAATTTTTGCAGGGGAAAACCAATTTTTGCAGGGGAAAACATTCCCAGAGTTTATTAATATTTATCTGAAGCTGAATTTTGAAATCCTCTTCAGTCTCGGCCCCTCGCCGGTGCCGTTCGTCTGTCGGGAGAGGAGCTCGTGATGTTTATGGTCAGCGAGCGTGAGGACTCATTTCAAACCCTATAATTGCAAGGATTTTCCCCCAAATGTGTCCTAAATGGGCTCAATCTCTTTTTTTGAAGGGGGGAGAGTGGGATCTTGGCTTTACCCTCCTCTTGGCCAGCTGTTGTGTCTTCTAACTGTTAACTGCTCAAAAAAATATGATGCCTCTGGTTGCTTCAAATTTCCTAGGGGACTGTAATCCCCAGAGGACCCTTTTGCCACCTGCAGTTCTGCTTTGGTCCTCTTCTCCGTGTCCCCAAAGGGACCTGTGTGTCCTTGCTGGTCCCTATGAAGCACCATGTGAGCATCTTCCTCCGCCTCCAATTTTTCCTGCTCTTCCCAAGTGCCAAGTCCTGCACTTGGGTCACACCATCCCCCTGCAGCGCTACAGGCTGGGGGCAGAGTGGCTGGAGCTGCCTGGCAGAAAAGGACCTGGGGGTGTTGGTCAACTGTCGGTTGAACATGAGCCAGCAGTGTGCCCAGGTGGCCAAGAAGGCCACCAGCATCCTGGCCTGTATCAGGAACAGCGTGGGGAGTAGGCCTCAGGAGGTGATTGTCCCCCTGTACTCGGCACTGGTGAGGCCTCACCTTGAGTACTGTGTCCAGTTTTGGGCCCCCTACCATAAAAAAGACATTGAGGTGCTGGAACGGGTCCAGAGAAGGGCGACAAAGCTGGTGAGGGGTCTGGAGAATAAGTCTTATGAGTAGAGGCTGAGGGAGCTGGGGTTATTCAGCCTGGAGAAGAGGAGGCTGAGGGGAGACCTTATTGCTCTCTCCAACTCCCTGAAAGGAGGGTGTAGAGAGGTGGGGGTCGGTCTCTTCTCCCAAGTCACAGGCGACAGGACGAGAGGAAATGGCCTCAAGTTGCACCAGGGGAGATTCAGGCTGGATATTAGGAAACATTTTTTCACTGAAAGGGTTCTCAGGCATTGGAATGGGCTGCCCAGGGAGGTGGTTGAGGCCCCATCCCTGGAGGTGTTCAAAAGACGGGTTGATGAAGTGCTGGGAGGTCTGGTTTAGTGATGATGCTTCTTGTTTGTTGTGGGGGTGTCTATTTTTGTCAGTGAGGTTGAGGGTTGGACAAGATGATCTTTAAGGTCCCTTCCAACCTAGAAGATTTTGTGATTCTGTGATTCCCGTGCTGCTTCTAGCTCAACCTTTCCTCATTTTCCTTCGGGGTTTCCCTGCTTCTCTTCAGGGCTTGGTGAAATTGCTGCTACGCTTTCTAGTCTTGCCTTTTTTTTTATGTGTAACCAAGGAGAAGTCAGATTTATCTGCAAATCCCCACCCTGGCCAGGCTTAACTCCAATTAAGAGTGCCAAGTAACAGCAGAGCGTTGCTCCTTTTAGTAACCTTGAAACGCTTCTCACTGTGCTGATAACAGAAAAGTCCCAAGAGAGAGAGGGAGAGAGAGAAATAAAGGGAAGCTCTTGGTAATTCAAAAACCAGCAGGTGATGTCTCAGACCTTGGGTAGATAATTAGGACACCAGCACTGAACACAAAAGGGGGGAACAGAAAGGGATGGAAAAAATGCAAGATGTGGCAAGAAAGCTGCTGCTGAGCCAAGCTCCTGCTGGGAATGGCAGCAAAAGCCTGCCAGAAAATATATATATATTTAAAAAGCAATAATATCTTACAACCCTCAGCAAAGATCCACAACACGTAGCTCCTGGGGACACGCAAGGCAGAGCTTTGTGTCACCTCCCTGGTGGCTCCTTGAAGCACCAATCTGGAGGCGTCGCGCCTCCCGTACACGGCTTTAATTTTCTCTTCTCTTTGTGGGATGCCAGCAAGAGGTTGGAATTGCTGTGTTTGGGTTGGCAGTGAGATCTCACTCTCTCTACGGTCACAGAGAAGCACCTCCTTGTTTCTCTAAAAGCCACACAGCCCCCTATTGCTCTGCTCCCCTTTGATCATGAGTAGCATCCTCGATTTCCTCCTCTTTCACAAGAGTATTAAACCCACCAGTGATAAAATTGCTTTGAAGCCATCATTAGGGGGAAAGCAACAACACGAGGAGCTCCTCTCCCTGCCTCCCCTGTTGTTTTTGGGTGATGACTTCACCCATAGTTTACGATGAATTTCTTGGGAGAGGTGGGATCATTCTGAAAACCAACAACCCCGGGATGGAAATCAACCACCACCAGCGTTTTCCACCAAACTGTGAATTGCAATTTGGTTTCCCCTGCGAAAAATCAACTCTTCTTTTTTCCTGTAGGAGTGAAGGAATCTCATCAGACGACCATTTTTAGGATAATTGCTGCCATTCTGCACCTGGGCAACTTGGAAATCCAAGGGGAACGCGATGGCGATGCCTGTAGCATATCGGTAGGTCACGCTCATAAATCGGGCCACGTTGGGTGTGTTGAGCTTCACAGCAGAATCCTTTGGTGGAAAGCCCTTTTCCTCCTGGTTTTCTTGGCTTTTTTTTGAAAACACCTCATAATTTCCTGGTTGTTTTCTTTTTCCTGGAAGAAAAAAATTATTTATCCTCTCTACCCAGCCCGTAAACGAGATGATTCAAAGGTTCTTTTTCCACCTAAAGTCCCAACCCATCTTTAACTCTTCTGCTTTCGTGGTGCAGAGATTATTGGGGAGATGGTGACTCCCACCAGCAGAAGGTGTGATGCTTCTACAACTGCTTTGCTCCAGGCAAAGCTGTGAAGCTGCTGCCTGTGATGAGGCCATCCCGTATCCAAACTCCAAACGAGCAGCCCGCTGTTAATTAGCAAGAATAAATAAGACTAACGATGCCTTAGGGGTGTGTTTTCTCTTCCTGTGTTAGTTCAGGGCGGGGGGAAGAGTGATTATATGGAAAATACTGTCCTGTCAATTATCATTGTATCCCAAACTGGGTGGTTTGTTCCTAATTAAAATATTAAAATGGGTTCTGCACACACTTTCAGTGGTACCCTTGAGATGATGTGATGTGCAATTAGTTGGATGCTGGGGGTAATTTGCTTGATATTTGGCAACACGGATACGTAAAAGTGATCTGCTCCGACAACGCTGAGCTCTGTAACGGAGTTCGTGTTGTTTAATTACCTTCAGATCTAATTGCATGGTATTCAATTAATCCTGTTCTGACTTGAATCCATGGGCAAAAAGGTACCGGAGCAAAAAAACACTATAGAGGGCTCTTAAAATGCATTTTTCTCTCCCTCCCCAAACCCATCCAGCTTCTATACAAGCACATATTTAGCTGGAAACAATTTATTTCCTTTAGATACATATTATTACACAGAGGAAAGGAAAATTGATTTCTTATTCTCTAAAATAAGTGCCTGCTGTCTTAGCATAATAGAGACCCATAACTCCCTTGTCTTAGTTTGAGGAGGAAGAAATACGATGCCTTAGAGAAAATGAAGTTCACATTTCACTTTATTGATTATGCAAAGTAGAAGCCCTTCTGGTAATGCACATTTTGCAATTTTTGTTGTTCAAAATGGAGTTAGTTTGTAAAAGGCGTATCCTAAGCTTTAACTTGAGGCTTAATCTGTAGCACCAGTCTGGAGGTGTCGCGCCTCCCGTACACGGCTTTAATTTCCTTTTTCTTTGTGGGATGCCAGCAAGAAGTTGGAATTGCTGTGTTTGGGTTGGCAGTGAGATCTCACTCTCTCTACGGTCGCAGAGAAGCACCTCCTTGTTTCTCTAAAAGCCACACAGCCCCCTGTTGCTCTGCTCCCCTTTGATCATGAGTAGCATCCTTGATTTCCTCCTCTTTCACAAGAGTATTAAACCCACCAGTGATAAAATTGCTTTGAAGCCATCATTAGGGGGAAAGCAATGATGCAAGGAGCTCGTCTCCCTGCCTCCCCTCTCGTTTTTGGGTGATGACTTCACCCAGAGTTTACGATGAATTTATTGGGAGAGGTGGGATCATTCTGAAAACCAACAGCCCCGGGATGGAAATCAACCGTCGCCGGCGTTTTCCACCAAACTGTGAATTGCAATTTGGTTTCCCCTGCGAAAAATCAACTCTTCTTTTTTCCTGTAGTTGAAGCACCAATCTGGAGGCGTCGCGCCTCCCGTACACGGCTTTAATTTTCTCTTCTCTTTGTGGGATGCCAGCAAGAGGTTGGAATTGCTGTGTTTGGGTTGGCAGTGAGATCTCACTCTCTCTACGGTCACAGAGAAGCACCTCCTTGTTTCTCTAAAAGCCACACAGCCCCCTATTGCTCTGCTCCCCTTTGATCATGAGTAGCATCCTCGATTTCCTCCTCTTTCACAAGAGTATTAAACCCACCGGTGATAAAATTGCTTTGAAGCCATCATTAGGGGGAAAGCAACAACACGAGGAGCTCCTCTCCCTGCCTCCCCTGTTGTTTTTGGGTGATGACTTCACCCATAGTTTACGATGAATTTCTTGGGAGAGGTGGGATCATTCTGAAAACCAACAACCCCGGGATGGAAATCAACCACCACCAGCGTTTTCCACCAAACTGTGAATTGCAATTTGGTTTCCCCTGCGAAAAATCAACTCTTCTTTTTTCCTGTAGGAGTGAAGGAATCTCATCAGACGACCATTTTTAGGATAATTGCTGCCATTCTGCACCTGGGCAACTTGGAAATCCAAGGGGAACGCGACGGCGATGCCTGTAGCATATCGGTAGGTCACGCTCATAAATCGGGCCACGTTGGGTGTGTTGAGCTTCACAGCAGAATCCTTTGGTGGAAAGCCCTTTTCCTCCTGGTTTTCTTGGCTTTTTTTTGAAAACACCTCATAATTTCCTGGTTGTTTTCTTTTTCCTGGAAGAAAAAAATTATTTATCCTCTCTACCCAGCCCGTAAACGAGATGATTCAAAGGTTCTTTTTCCACCTAAAGTCCCAACCCATCTTTAACTCTTCTGCTTTCGTGGTGCAGAGATTATTGGGGAGATGGTGACTCCCACCAGCAGAAGGTGTGATGCTTCTACAACTGCTTTGCTCCAGGCAAAGCTGTGAAGCTGCTGCCTGTGATGAGGCCATCCCGTATCCAAACTCCAAACGAGCAGCCCGCTGTTAATTAGCAAGAATAAATAAGACTAACGATGCCTTAGGGGTGTGTTTTCTCTTCCTGTGTTAGTTCAGGGCGGGGGGAAGAGTGATTATATGGAAAATACTGTCCTGTCAATTATCATTGTATCCCAAACTGGGTGGTTTGTTCCTAATTAAAATATTAAAATGGGTTCTGCACACACTTTCAGTGGTACCCTTGAGATGATGTGATGTGCAATTAGTTGGATGCTGGGGGTAATTTGCTTGATATTTGGCAACACGGATACGTAAAAGTGATCTGCTCCAACGACGTTGAGCTCTGTAACGGAGTTCGTATTGTTTAATTACCTTCAGATCTAATTGCATGGTATTCAATTAATCCTGTTCTGACTTGAATCCATGGGCAAAAAGGTACCGGAGCAAAAAAACACTATAGAGGGCTCTTAAAATGCATTTTTCTCTCCCTCCCCAAACCCATCCAGCTTCTATACAAGCACATATTTAGCTGGAAACAATTTATTTCCTTTAGATACATATTATTACACAGAGGAAAGGAAAATTGATTTCTTATTCTCTAAAATAAGTGCCTGCTGTCTTAGCATAATAGAGACCCATAACTCCCTTGTCTTAGTTTGAGGAGGAAGAAATACGATGCCTTAGAGAAAATGAAGTTCACATTTCACTTTATTGATTATGCAAAGTAGAAGCCCTTCTGGTAATGCACATTTTGCAATTTTTGTTGTTCAAAATGGAGTTAGTTTGTAAAAGGCGTATCCTAAGCTTTAACTTGAGGCTTAATCAAGGTTGCTCTGAAGGAGCTTGACGTTGCAGCTCGAGGAGGAGTAAAGTGGAGAGGGCTCTTTCCTCTTGGTGGTTCACCGTGGAAATGTGCTTTTTAGTTCAAGACCTTGAGGATAGTCAGAGCAGAGGACAACTGTAGGGTGTACCACCATTTAGAGCTCCCTTTCATCCATGGCCATGAAGATTAACGCAACTGGTTGAGTCCTCATCGCTCCTCTATTCCCTCTCAACCACAGAGATACGCAGTATTTCCCTAGATGGGCATGAAATGCCGCTCATTTCTTGTTGAAACTCTTAATTTTGGATTGTCACCGACCTGCTGCCTTTGCTTCTTGTCCCCCCCACCCTAGAGTGAGGACGAGCACTTGAACAACTTCTGCGGTTTGCTGGGCGTGGAGCACAGCCAGATGCAGCACTGGCTTTGCCACCGCAAGCTCATCACCACGGCCGAGACCTACGTGAAGAACATGTCCGTGCAGCAAGTGGTGAACGCCAGGAACGCCCTGGCCAAGCACATCTACGCCCAGCTCTTCAACTGGATCGTGCAGCACATCAACAAGGCCTTGCACACCACCGTCAAGCAGCACTCCTTCATCGGCGTCCTCGATATCTACGGGTAGGCATGCTTTCTGCTTCTGAGGGTGTTTAATTAGTCCTTTCTGATTTGTCTCACCCTTGTGGCCGTGAATGCTTGATTTTGGCTTGTGGCAGGGGATGGGAGTAATAGAAAAGATTGCAGAAGGGTCCTCAGCACAGGAAGGACATGGACCTGTTGGAGCACTACCAGAGGAGGCCATGAAGATGCTCCAAGGGCTGGAGCCCCTCTGCTGTGAGGACAGGCTTCCAGTCCCTCAAGGGGCTCTAGAAAAGCTGGGGAAGGACTCTTGATGAGGGAGGGGAGCCATAGGATGAGGGGGAAGTGTTTCACACTGGAAGAGGGGAGATTGAGATGAGATGTGGGGAAGAACTTCTTTGGTGTGAGGGTGGTGAGAGCCTGGCCCAGGTTGCCCCGAGAAGCTGTGGCTGTCCCATCCCTGGAGGTCTTCAAGGCCAGGTTGGAAGGGGTTTGGAGCAACCTGGTATGGTGGGAGGTGTCCCTGCCCAGGGCAGGGGAGTGGAACTTGCTGGTCTTTAAGATCCTTTCCAACTCTAACCTTTCTAGGTTTCTATGCACCTGTGTGATGGAGCAATTATTTGAAGCCCAAATATTCCACAACTCTGCCCTTTTTTGAACTTGCTTTGCATGAGGAGGGGGTTTCATCACTGCAAGAACTAGTTACAGTGATTTGTCAAGGTTATACTTCATCCGAGGGGTTCAAGGCCAGGTTGGATGGGGTTTGGAGCAACCTGGTCTGGTGGGAGGTGTCCCTTGCCCAGGGCAGGGGTTGGAACTGGATGATCTTTAAGGTTCCTTCCAACCCAAACCATTCTATGATTCTGTGATTATATTCTATCAACTTAGCACTCCCACACTTCACCTCTCAAAATTACCATCACCATAAATGCGCAGCCCCAACTTAGCACTCCTGCACTTCACCTCCCAAAATTACCATCACCATAAATGCGCAGCCCCAGGAGGGATTAATTTGAGAAGATGTATTTTTTCATCTTGAGATGTCATGTTTACAAACTCTCCCAGGCAAAAGAACAAGAATCTATCCGATCTGAATGAACCTGAAGTTCAGAACGAAATCCTGCCCAAGGGGTTCTGGGTCAGCTGCGGAAAGCTTTTATGGTTGTAATACCTACATGGTTACTGGGATCTTAAATCATCAGCTGGGATGGGCACAGTCTGGTTGGGAGACTGTATGAGATGCAAAAGCTGTTTCTCATCAATATTCCTACAAATAGAGATTTTCCCCAGGCTGGAATATAGTAAATAAAGTTTGGAGATGGAGCTTGGTGGGTCGTAGAGGGTCAGAGCAGAAAGCTGGACCGCCCAGGTTACAAAATCAGACTCCTTTTTTTTCAGAAATCTGAATCAGAAGAGACTTGAGGATAACGCTCATGAAAGATTAAGCTGGGCTTGAAAACCTGTTAGTGTGGAAGAAAAACCTGCCTTGGCTGCAGGTCTCCTGTGCCTCACGTCCAGCCTGTGGGACAGTTGATGTTTTTACAGCTCTGGTGTCACCACCAGGGTCTTTTTTTCATTCACTGGGGACCTCCAGGTCCTATGGAATAAGGCAGGTTTGTGGGGGAAGGATGTTCACACTCGTGTGAGAGTCCCATCTTCTTTCAGAAGGGAATATTTCTGTCTAAATACTGAGTAATTAATTAATAATGCAGGGTGCTGTCAGCCGGACTCTGCAGTCCTTGAAAGTGGTTTAGTTCCCCAAACTCAGCTTATTTGGGAGTTTTAACACGTTCTGCCAAATGCTGGAATTATTTTTTTTCCTGAAATAGCTGTGTTTTTCCTTTTCCTCTGGGAGAGGGATTGAGGTCCCAAGGCAAGGAGTCTGCACTCAGCCTCCACCGCGTGTCCCTGACATCCCGAGAGCACCTCTGTCCCCACCCTCCTCCAGGAGGAATGTCCCCAGGGGTGGAATTTCTAGGGAAGGGATCCAAACCCCGGGTGCAGAGGCTGTGGGTCTCCTAATCCTCCAATGCTGGAGCCCACATCCTTAATTCTCCATTAATATTGGGGTGAGAGGGTGCAGGATTCAAAACCTTCCTGTATTTATCCCAGGAATGGATTCCTGTGGCATTCCTGGACTTGGGAATGGCTTGGTTTTCCTCTGTTTGCCATGTGAAGGGAAGTGTGAACATCCAGGTGGCCAGCTGTACGCTGGATTTATTTATGAACTTTAAATATTTTAGTATAAACCCCGGTGCTGCAGAGGATTTAGGAGATCCCAGTCGTACAGCAGAAGAGCCAGGACCTCCTGGCGAGGACACGTGTGGAGCCGGTGCCCAAACTGCTCTGTAAATTAGCAAATCACGCTGGCAGAGGCTTAATTAGTGACTTAGTGAAATCTCCCTTGGAGTTGATATGCTACAGCTGCTTTGCCCTCAGATTGCACTTGCTGAGAGGGTTCATAAATCACATCTGGTGTCTCTGAAGAAGATAAAGAGTCTCCACTCAAATATCTTTTCTTCTTGTACCCCTGTTCTCGTTGTGTTTTTCCACCCAACTCACTGTGACTCTCCATCTCTGTTTTAATTAAATCTTTTCTTGCCCTGTCACTCCAATCATGAACCTGCAGGAGTTGGTGTTTCCAAGGAGGAGACCCTTTAGGTGCAAGAGCTGAAGACCCTGATTTCTTGACGTGGTGGCCACTCAACCAAGACCGAGCACATCAGGAGCTCTTCCAGGACATGTTGATCATTGAAGCTCTGGCCACGTGTTTAATATTAACATTCTTTTGTCCCAGATGCTGGATTTTGCTGAATTAAAGATTGTAAAGCTCAGTTCTGGAGATGAAGAGGGATTGAGGATCCTCTGCTCGGCATGGGCTGCACCAACTTTGGGGCAATACCAGCCTGGAAATATTCTTTTGTCCCAGGCAGAGAAAGAGCTGGTCCTGGCTTTCCTAACATTCTTTTGTCCCAGATGCTGGATTTTGCTGAATTAAAGATTGTAAAGCTCAGTTCTGGAGATGAAGAGGGATTGAGGATCCTCTGCTCGGCATGGGCTGCACCAACTTTGGGGCAATACCAGCCTGGGGACAGGCAGAGAAAGAGCTGGTCCTGGCTTTCCTTGAAAGCTGTGGGGCCAATAAAAGCACAAAAGTGGCTCCTTTTTCCCATTTTTTCATTTTCCTTTTCCTTAGGGCTGAGGCATTTTCAGTGGTGAGGAACATTACCACCTGGCAATACCTGCCTCCCGTGGAAAACAGCCAGGGAGTCCTCAGAAAACACTAGAAATACTGATTTTGTGGAGGAAATGAAAAAAAAAAAAAAGGCTTCATTTATTTAGTGCTTAAAGACTGTTCTGTCAGCTCCTACAGCACCTATTACCCCAGCAATTATTTCGCCGCTCATTTATCATTACGGCAGCTTATTCATTAAGCACAGGGAGCTTTGCCACTTCTTCCCTTAGTTTTAAGCTTTACAGTCATGTGTCAAAGACTTTCTTCTTTTTTTTTTCCCCCTCTCTCCTCCAAATCTGCCATAAAAATAGAAAAATAAATAACATCATTTCCCGTGGTGGCTGAAAAATGTACTTTTTTTTTAAGAGCAAACCTGGGTCCCTCTGCCTGTCCCTGGGCTCCACGTCCTTCAACCCCGACTACCTTGGGGGCTCTGCTGGCTTTCTGCTGCTTGACAGTAGTTTGTGTTATTAAAACTAGATATTTTTTCTTTTCTAATTGTGATTAGGAAGCCAGGTTGGATTTTTTTTTTGCTTTGGAGTTGGCTGGTGGCCTGCAGAGGGGGTATAGTGGTGATGTTTGGGTGAGGGAACCTTTGGTGAAGAGGGCGATCACCAAGACCAACACCAAACTTCCTCTGAGGAATCATAGAATGGTTTGGGTTGGAATCACCAAGACCAACACCAAACTCCCTCTAAGGAATCATAGAATGGTTTGGGTTGGAAGGGACCTTGAAGGTCATCGAGTTCCAACCCCCCTGCCATGGGCAGGGACACCTCCCACCAGTCCAGGTTGCTCAAAGCCCCATCCAACCTGGTCTGGAACGTGTTGGAATTGGAGCTGAAATCACCATTTCACCCTCTGCCTCCCCAGAAATCACTGTGTCTAATTTTTGTGCAATCGGGGATGCAATAATTATGAATTTAACACCTTCTTTTTCTGTGTGTTGGAATCACCATTTCTCCCTTTGCCTTCCCAGAAATCACTGTATCTAATTTTTGTGCTATCGGGGGTGCAATACAGAGGCTATAATTATGAATTTAACACCTTCTTTTTCTGCTGTATGGGCTTACGTTAAAAACACCGCGTTGGGTTTTTAAAGACAGGAGCTACTGTTTCTCCCTCACCTTTGCAGTGAATATATTTGGACTTAATATTTCATAATATTTTATTTTTTTTGTCCTCCCCCCCTGAGAGAAGCTGTTACATTTCTTGGCTCAGGCAGCACTTCTGCCTGATGGGCAGGAAGCTGCGGTCGTACCGAATATCTCACTCATGCGTAGCAGAAGAGACTCTTGAATCCCTTGAGTCATTGCAAGGAAAAGAGAGATGTTTTGGGGAAGGAAAGAAGAAAGTGTAGACCTGGGATAGGAGGAATGCGAAGAGACGGTTGAATAACCGGTGTTTCCTGTCACGCAGATGATGCTGTTGTAAGGCAAAAACCAAAAAAAAAAGGTAAATTTTGAGAAACACCACCGCTTAATGCTGATTTATTCATTGCTTTGCAGGTTTGAAACTTTTGAAGTGAATAGCTTTGAACAGTTTTGTATCAACTACGCCAATGAAAAGCTCCAGCAGCAGTTCAACTCGGTAAGGTCAGCTTGGAAGCCTTCCATGAAACTGAGCAGCAAATGTTTAAAGGCTGGATTATTTTAAGTCTGGCTTCTGCATTCTATGGCCAGGATCAACATAGTCCTGGAGATACCATCTCTCCCCGCGCGATGATTGTGCCTTAGAATTGTGATAAATATTCATATCAAGTTGAAAATGTGGCTTGGTCGATTGATGAGCTTGATACTGGCAGCAGGTTTGCAAATGGTTTATGCAAAGGTTCACTGATGGGTTTGAATAAGGACGTAGTTTGTTGGTTTTCTTCTTCATATTTTCAATCCTAACCCAAAACCTGGATGATGAGTGCTCTGGGGAGGCCCCATCTGGAGCACTGGGTCCAGTTCTGGGCTCCCCAGTTCCAGAAGGACAGGGAACTGCTGGAGAAGGGACAGCAGAGGGCTACAAAGATGATGAGGGGCCTGGAGCATCTCTCTGCTGAGGAAAGGCTGAGGGACTTGGGTCTTTTGAGTCTGGAGAAGAGAAGGCTGAGGGGGGATCTGATCAAGGCCTATAAAGACTTGAAGGGTGGGTGTCAGGAGGATGGGGCCAGGCTTTTTTCAGTGGTGCCCAGGGACAGGACAAGAGGGAACGGGCACAAACTTGACCATAAGAAGTTCCACCTGAACATGAGGAGGAACTTCTTTCGTGTGAGGGTGGCAGAGCCCTGGCCGAGGCTGCCCAGAGAGGTGGTGGAGTCTCCTTCTCTGGAGATGTTCAAAATCCACCTGGACATGTTCCTGTGCAACCTGCTTTGGCAGGGGGTTGGGGGAGATGATCTCCAGAGGTCCCTTCCAACCCCATATCATTCTGTGATTCTGTGGTCTTGTGTGGAGTCCTGGTTTCCATTTCAAGACAAAACATGGATGGAAGCCTCCCCATTAAGTGTGTCCTAAACCTCTGCAACAAAAACTCTGCATTAAATAGCACAATTAGACCCACTCCATGTTTTTCACTTGGCCACACCTCACAAAAACCTGGAATTCTTCTATTTTATTAGATCCAACCACTTAACCTGCACTGGAAACGAAACCAGTAAGGGCTCTTCACGTGCTTTTGTTGTAAGGGAGGAAAATATTAGTTTCAAGATACGAGGAGGTGGGGGAAAAATACCTTGTTAAATCTGAGCAGCTCTAAGTACTGGGGAGAAGTTTGGCACTTTGCAACCGTACGATGCGCGTGGACGTGGACGTTTGCGGTGTATCTTACGATCGCCGCTGCTGAAAACGAGAAGGAAATGATGGATTGGGTTTTGCCCTCTTCATATCTGACTTGAGTACGCCTGGCTATCACTTCTGAAGCTTATAAATTCAAACTCAGAGATGACGTGTTTGAAGAGATTTTAAAAAGCTGTCTTTGAAGAGAAAAAGTCCATTTGAAAAGTCATTTTTTTTAATATGCTTAGAGTATCTCAGAAATAGCCAATTTATCTGCTTGGGCAGAGGTCTGAGATATATTATCCATACAGAGTTTTTTTTTTAATATATATCTTTCTTTTTTTTTTTTTAAATCAGAAAGTATAATAGAAGTGTTCCTGAGTCTTAGATGCTGCTGCTGATATCCCTTCTGGATCGGTGGGTGGCTCCCTGTGAAGCTCTGCTCACAGATGGGGACGCCAAGGACAATGGGATGAGGTTTAATAAGGCCAAGTGCCGGGTCCTGCATTTTGGTCACAACAACCCCAGGCAACGCTACAGACTTGGGGCAGAGTGGCTGGAAAGCTGCCCAGAAGAAAAGGACCTGGGGGTGTTGGTGGACAGCAGGCTTAACATGAGCCAGCAGTGTGCCCAGGTGGCCAAGAAGGCCAATGGCATCCTGGCTCGTACCAAGAATAGTGTGGCCAGCAGGAGTAGGGGAGTCATCGTGCCTCTGTACTCGGCACTGGTGAGGCCTCACCTCGAGTGTGGTGGAGTCACCATCCCTGGAGGTATTTAAGAAACGTATAGACATGGCTGTTCAGGGCATGCTCTAGTGCCCAAGGTTATTGGTTTATGGTGAGGTGTTGAGTGTGGGGTTTAGTTGGTGGGTGCAGTGTTTTTGGTGGGCGTTTGGTGTGGTGTGTTTTGTATTTGTTTGGTGTGTGGGGGTTTTTTGGGGGTTTTTTTGGGTTTTTTTTTTGTTTGGTTGGTTTTTTTTGTGGTTGGACTCGATGATCTCAGAGGTCCCTTCCAACCACTAAGATTCTGTGATTCTGTGATTCTGTGATTCTGTGCACGCGCTCGGCCCTGGCTGCGGTCCCAGTTTGGGAACCTGCTGCGGGTCACTGGTTTAACTGGCGGAGCGCGGAAGGAGAGAGAGGAATTTTTCTCAGCCCAGGAGATATGTGTGTCGTTGTCGTTTCAATATATGGCTCCCACCTAAATGTAGTGACAGCTTCAGTCATTTTCTAGTGAAAGTCACTTAAAGCCTAATTTTTTCCCCTCCACTCCCCCATGGTTTCCCAGTGAGTGAACGGGGAAGGGCCTGGTTGGGGTCACCATCCGTAATTCTGCTGTTTTTTCCACTCTCAGCACGTGTTTAAACTGGAACAAGAGGAGTACATGAAGGAGGGAATCCCTTGGACTCTCATAGACTTCTACGATAACCAGCCCTGCATAGACCTCATAGAGGCGAAACTCGGTATCTTGGACCTCCTGGATGAAGAGTGCAAGGTAAAGGCAACCACCTACCTTTTATAAAAGGTTAAAAAACAGACTTTAACCTGTAGTAGCTTGCAAAAGGGTAAACATCTCCTTACACGTGCATTGCTAGGGTAGGCTGGTGGGATTTGTTTGTTTTAGGACCATCAGAACCTCCTTGGCAGATGTTGGGTACCAACCTGGGTACCTGGTCTCACCATGTATTGCCAGAGCTCATGTTTCTGGCCTCGCTCTGGCCTTGCTTGGGACTTCTTTCTTCAGTGAAGGAAACTGCTGGAGAGGGGACAGCAGAGGGCTACAAAGATGAGGAGGGGCCTGGAGCATCTCTCTGCTGAGGAAAGGCTGAGGGACTTGGGGCTTTTGAGTCTGGAGAAGAGCAGACTGAGGGGGGATCTGATCAAGGCCTAGAAATAATTGAAGGGTGGGTGGCAGGAGGATGGGGCCAGGCTTTTTTCAGTGGTGCCCAAGGGACAGGACAAGAGGAAATGGGCACAAACTTGACCATAAGAAGTTCCATCTCAACATGAGGAGGAACTTGTTTCCTGTGAGGGTGGCAGAGCCCTGGCAGAGGCTGCCCAGAGAGGTGGTGGAGTCTCCTTCTTTGGAGACATTCCAACCCCACCTGGATGGGTTCCTGTCCAACCTGCTCTGGGTGGCCCTGCTATGGCAGGGGGTTGGAGTAGATGTTCTCCAGAGGTCCCTTCCAACCCCATATCATTCTGTGATTCTATGTCATCCAGGAGCTGGAGTTCCTCCCTATCTCAAGCCTTATTTTGTCCTGTGTGAAACCTGAGTCCTCTCACAGTAGTTATTTGGGGTAAAGGTGATCACATTTAGTGTGCAGGCTTCAGATGATGGAATTTGTGCTTCAGTGGCACATGGCATAGAGAAAAAACCGTGTCTGGGAGGGTCTTCTGTTTGGTTAACTTTGTGGCATTGAGGGACATCAGCCACATAATGAGGATTTGCCGAAATTGATGTCAGGCTCTGGCTGACTTCTCCCAAATAACAGGTGATAGCACAAGAAGAAATGACCTCAAGAGTCAACAGGGGAGGGTTAGGATGGATATTAGAAAAAATTTCTTCACCAAAAGGGTTATCAAGCCTTGGAAGAGGCTGCCCAGGGAACTGGTAGAGTTACCATCCCTGGGGGAATTTAAAAGCTGGGCTGACATGATGCTGAGGGACATGAGTTAGTGGTGTTTTTTGTCAGTGTTGGGTTGATGGTTGGACTTGATGATCTGAAAGGTCCCTTCCAACCTGACAATTCTGTGATTCTATGGATTTCCACACAAGTTTTGCAAAAGATTGAAATTGCATGTCCCTTCTGCTCCTTTGAGATAGAGAATAAGGAGCCAGGGATGACCTGTAGAAGCATCTACAATTGTGTAGGCTTCTTGTTTAGCCATTCCTTCAGCATTCTTCTGTTGGGGTTTGGAATTGTGTCTTCCCTCAGCTTTTCTGAGTTTTGGGTTTGTGGTTGGTTGGGTTGTGTTTTTTTTCTTTTTTTGTAGTTTGTTATCTTTTATCATCTGTCTCTCTTAACAGCTTAAATTAAATCTTTCTTAAAAGTTGAGTAGAAATACCAGAATGGCAACCCTTTATGAGAATCCATAAGAAAGGTTGGGCTCCTTGGTCACTCCTTGTTCAGTCATGAATGATCAAATATCTCTAGGAAGAAGAAATGTAAGGTGGCAGATCTTGGGAAGTTGATATGCTTGTTTTGAAGATCTTTGGGTTGAAGAGTAGGTGGAAAGTCCAGAGTTTGAGGTATTATCATCTCAACAGGAGAACTCAGTGTTATGCTGTGATGAAAAGGGCTTCTACACTGGGAAGAGCGGGTAAAGGTGATCACATTTAGTGTGCAGGCTTCAGATGATGGAATTTGTGCTTCAGTGGCACATGGCATAGAGAAAAAACCGTGTCTGGGAGGGTCTTCTGTTTGGTTAACTTTGTGGCATTGAGGGACATCAGCCACATAATGAGGATTTGCCGAAGTTGATGTCAGGCTCTGGCTGACTTCTCCCCAATAAGAGGTGATAGACAAGAAGAAACAACCTCAAGAGTCACCGGGGGAGGGTTAGGATGGATATTAGAAAAAATTTCTTCACCAAAAGGGTTATCAGTCCTTGGAAGAGGCTGCTCAGGGAACTGGTGGAGTCACCATTGCTGGGGGCATTTAAATCTGGGCTGACGTGGTCCTGAGGGACATGGTTTAGTAGTGTTTTGTCAGTATTGGGCTGATGGTTGGACTTGATGATCTGAAAGGTTCCTTCCAACCTGGACAATTCTGTGATTCTATGGATTTCCAGACAAGTTTTGGAAAAGATGGAAATTGCATGTCCCTTCTGTTCCTTTGAGATAGAGAAAAAGGAGTCAGGGATGACCTGTAGAAGTGTCTACAATTGTGTAGGCTTCTTGTTTAGCCATTCCTTCAGCATTCTTCTGTTGGGGTTAGGAATTGTCTTCCCTCAGCTTTTCTGAGTTTTGAGTTTGTGGTTGGTTGGGTTGTGTTTTTTTTCTTTTTTTGTAGTTTGTTATCTTTTATCATCTGTCTCTCTTAACAGCTTAAATTAAATCTTTCTTAAAAGTTGAGTAGAAATACCAGAATGGCAACCCTTTATGAGAATCCATAAGAAAGGTTGGGCTCCTTGGTCACTCCTTGTTCAGTCATGAATGATCAAATATCTCTAGGAAGAAGAAATGTAAGGTGGCAGATCTTGGGAAGTTGATATGCTTGTTTTGAAGATCTTTGGGTTGAAGAGTAGGTGGAAAGTCCAGAGTTTGAGGTATTATCATCTCAACAGGAGAACTCAGTGTTATGCTGTGATGAAAAGGGCTTCTACACTGGGAAGAGGAACTGGCATCTCTTCCAGTTCTGGTGTCTGCATAGCGATGATGATGAGGAAATACTGGAGAGAGTGTTATCAGGGCTATAAAACGTTGTGATATGGTGCAGCCTGACTGGTTTTGCTATGGTGTGATCAACGAGTTGTCTTTGGGAAGAGTTTCCATCAAGACTTGGATCTATTCCGTGCCAGAAAATGTCTTACTGATTCTGGAAGGGCTTTGAGGGTCTTTGAACAAGGGCAGGGAAAGGTGGTGGGAGAGCTGAAGTAAGGAATGAGTCCTCACTGTGTTGGCCAAGGTGATGAGAAGGACACAACAAATTCTTGTTGGCTCTGTGGGATCCATGGGTATGGGACAGATCCAGTGGCTTGAGGACAGGAGTGTCATTTTGCATCAGAGAGAAAGATTTTTGGATCCATTATTTAGAAGTCCTGTTGGGATTTAAGGAGATGTAGGACTTGTCTGGAAGCGAGGTGACCTGTCAAGTAGCTGCTCTTCTCCATTTGACAAGGGCTGTCTTTTCAGGCATGACGAGGCTGTCCCAACTTGCACGTCCCACGAGCTCAGCCCTCATCTGGGGGCTTCTCAAGGAGCCAGATCTGGGGCTTTGCCCTTTCCAAATCCAGTCTTGAGAAGACTCCTTAAAAACGAGAACAAATTAAACTTAATTTGATGCCCTTAAAATAGCATCTGAAGCCGGTGCCGGCTCAGAAGGAGGTCAGATGATTTGCTTGATATTCAGCATCATTTCATTTCCTCTCTGTGCTATTAAGCCTGTTAAATTCTTCAGGCTTCAACCAGCTCCTGGGTGTTTTGAGGACCATGAGGAAAGTTTCTTCAAGGGTGGGTGTCAGGAGGATGGGGCCAGGCTTTTTTCAGTGGTCCCCAGGGACGGGACAAGAGGAAATGGGCACAAACTTGACCATAAGAAGTTCCATCTCAACATGAGGAGGAACTTCTTCACTTTGAGGGTGGCAGAGCCCTGGCAGAGGCTGCCCAGAGAGGTGGTGGAGTCTTCTTCTCTGGAGACATTCCAAACCCGCCTGGACACCTGCTCTGGTGGACCTTCTTTGGCAGGGTGGTTGGACTAGATGATCTCCAGAGGTCCCTTCCAACCCCATATTGTTCTGTGATTCTGTGATAACACCCTTTGCTCCTCTGGGAAGCATCTGGGACTGGTTGTTGCTGGTGACATTCCGTTACACGGAGCAATTTCTCTGCAACAGCAAGAAAATGGCCAACTTTGCTGTAGATCTTCCTGGGGTTACTTTTTTTCATCCATGCTTTTTTGAACAAAAAAAACCAAACACCAAAATGCACCATCTCTTCCCCCCCAACACCAAATGCCAATTATCTGGGTATTTACCTGTCAGTGGGGAACGCTGTCATTAGTCACAGGCCCTTATTATGGACCCTCTAATTGACTCTTTTATAATAACCTCTTTATGAATTTTTCCATGATGCCTGTCAACTAAAAGCACCAGTTTATGGATAAAAAACCTTCACCCCCGCATCACCAGCAGCAGTTTTTCACCTCTCGGAGCGAGTCGGGAGCGGGACCACAATGGGGTAATTGCAAGTCATCTCGTTAGCGCGTACGACGGCGGATAAATATATTCTGGGACATGAAATGGCATCGAGGGGGTCCTGGCAACATAATGAAACGTTAGCGCAAATGCGGAGGGTTTGTCGCGAACGTTCTGGCTTCACAGTATGGATTTTTTTTAAAAAAAAATAATCTTTAATGTGAGGTTGAGGAGGGGGCGGTTGGGTACGTGCTGAAGCGGTTCAGCTAATGAAGGTCATAGACCTTTGGTGCTTAATGAGTCTTGTCACCATTTAGAGAAGAAGGGGACCAGCCAGGGTCGGAACGGAAATGGGAAATGAAAAAGAGGGCTCTCAAATTGAAATTGGAATTTTAAAGATTAAACCAGTCTCTTGAAAGCGAATGATAAAAACCCTTGCTCTGAAAAAAAAAAAAAAGATTAAGATTCTGTGATTCTGTGATTCTGTGATTCTGTGCACGCGCTCGGCCCTGGCTGCGGTCCCAGTTTGGGAACCTGCTGCGGGTCACTGGTTTAACTGGCGGAGCGCGGAAGGAGAGAGAGGAATTTTTCTCAGCCCAGGAGATCTGTGTGTCGTTGTCGTTTCAATATATGGCT